GGATGAGCAGACGACCAATTGGCACAATCCGACCAGTCATTGCTGCTTCCAGTTTTCGGTGACGACATTCCACGAGTCCATTCCGGCCAAGTTCCGGCAAGTCAACTAGATTAATGCACGTACCAATTGCTGTATGAACAAGCGGCCTCATGCAAACCGGCACATACACTTCACGTGACCTGGCAACGGATGGAGTGAGGCGAGGCCTGATTGGTGCCATCGCAGACTCGACTCACCTTTCGGAAGGGTGACAAAGACAAGGGCGGGCTGGCTGTCCGGGCCCTTGGCACCGGCGAATCCGGCCGCGTTGGGCCGCGTGCTGGCCGACAAGGACAGGGAATGCTGGGTGGAGGGGACCAGGTTGTCGAGCCGGTAGGCCGGAGTTGTCAGGTTGAACTGAGTGATGGTGATGGAGGAGGAGATCTGGCTGGAGGAGGTGTCGTTGAACCGCGTCAGCGTCACGTGGAAAGCGTCGATGAAGCCGTTGCAGTCGGCTGGAAACTGCCAGGTCAAGAGGGCAGAATCGGCGCGGACGTCGGTCACGGAAACTGAGAGCGGCGCCGATGGGGCTGGTGGGGGAGAGCAGAGAAAGGAGGCTGTAAGTGAGTGGGAAACTGGCACACGTTTTGGTAGATACAGAAATGAGCAGACGAGCAAGTGAAAAGAGTGAGGGGGGGAGGATTATATGAAACACAGTTTTTCTACATAGTGTGTGAGTGAGGGAATGAGTGTGTATGTGAGTGGATGAGTGAGGATGTGTGTAAGTGTGTAAGTGTGTAAGTGAGTGAGTGAGTGAATGCGTAAGTGGGTCAGTGTGTGATTGAGTGGATAAATGAGTGAGTGTGTGAGTCGGTGAGAGCATGAGTGAGTGATATCATGAATGAATAAGTAGGTGAGTGGGTGTGTGCTTACGTTGGTGAGTTAGTGAGTGTGTGAGTGGGTGAGTTAATGATAGAGTGTGTGAAAGTGTGAGTGAGTGTGAGTTTGAATGAGCATCCGTGAATGAGTGGGTAAGTCAGTATGTGATTGAGT